TTGTTTCAAAAGTGCCAACAGTCACAGGTATGGCCCCCCGAACCCGGGATCCTCGTGAGTGTTGTGACTGTTGAGGCTATGCAACTTCGTGGCGTGTCCACAGTGGCGACACTCACTTGGATGGGCCATGGTTTTGGTCTGCGCCGCGCCCAGCTGCTGACCCTCAACCCGAAACCCTTTCATATCTATACACCTATTAAACCCTCAACGACACCATGGTTCCAGAGGGAAAGAGGCATGGGGTCATTGTCACTCCGTCTCTCTCTTCTGCAAACTTCCTTCCTCTCTCTCTCTCTCTCTCTCTCTCACTTACTCACTCGCTCGCTCACGTCCCTGAAACCTGAACCCGTACACCGTCGACATCCTTCGACCCTGAACCCTAAACCCCAGTCTAAGCCCCGTTTCCCATAGGCATTCCAACGCTCAACCCTAAACGGCCCTAAACCTGAAGCTCGCGCCTTGCCGAGCATTCTGGATCACGTTTGAGTCGCTGATCCGCTCCTCCGAAAGCCCAGCGGCGGCTCTAAGCTGGCTGGCCCAAGTGATTTCTGTTCGGGCTTACGGTTTGGGGCAGTTTAGGGTTTGGGGTCGGGGTGCAGGGTGGGCTATGTTGTGTTTACGTGGCTTCAACGCCAAACTAGTTTATTCCTGTGTTGCGCTGGACGAACTTTTATTTCCAGACTCAGCAGGAGCCTCTTTCGCACCCTCCTGAGTCCGGGGCTCCGGAAATCCATACTACTGGATTGTACTCAGATGGAGTTCGAGTACCGAGACAGGCGCCTGGTGGTGGTTCGGGGACATCAGAAGTGCGAGGGGCCTTTGGTCTTCGTGGGGCCATCGCGAATTTGGGGATGAGACTCGAGATGGCAGAGTCTTGCGCTTGAATCGAACTCGAGTGGCTTCGAAGGGGCCCAGCCTAAGCTCCAGCATGCTGGATAGAGTTGTCACGCCATTCTCACGGACTTGACAGACCCGTCCACACTGCATGAACATGGGTCCAAGGTTTCACCACTCACAGGGGTCCAAGGCTTAGTGTCTAGGGATCAGGTGTGGTGAAACGGGTTTAGGGCCTTCTCCGATCCTCTTGGAGCTCTTCGGCTTCGAGTTTTCGGGATCCAGGCCGCAACAGGTTTGCCGGGTGCGAAAATTACCGAGGCATACCGAGGCTTGCAGCCTAACTGACGCCCAGTGAAGCCGTGCAGCGTCAACGTCGAGAAGCCTGAACCTTCAGCGTGCGCGTTGATTGCGAACTTGCTCCTGGATGTTTGCGGCAGAAGAGGACGCAGTCGAGGCAACGCCTGCATGCAGGCAATCGCACAGAACAAACCGAACACTAAATCTATTGTAAGCCCCATCCCTCCAACAACCGAAACTGGCCTGAAACCTTTTCCAACCCAGCCTGGGGTGTTGATGCATCTCCTAGATTCTGGACAGCCGCAAATCAAGCTTTTCGCGCTTACACACGGACCGGTCCAGGCAATGTCTGAAGACGAGACTAAACCCTAAACCCTAAACCCTAAACCCTAAACCCTAAACCCTAAACCGGTGTTCGGACCAATGGTTCAATCCACGTGTCAAGTAAAGTCTTGATTTAGGAGGGATGTGGCCCCACAGCAAGTTTTAGGCCTTCGTCTGCAAGTCGAAACTCAATGGTCTAATTCTTCAAGCTAGGTTGGAAAGGTTGGGAGGGCTAATAGCTCGCGAAGCTGAGATCTGAGTTTCGAGGGTTGTTTAAAAGGGTTTTCTGGGCATAGGAATCTCAAACTTGCATTCGGGAGGGGAGGGTGCATAAACTAGGGATTCTCGACTCATCATTTCTGCCTCTTGCTTCCGTTACCTTGGGTAAAGGAATCTCCCTGAAACCGGAGAAGCAGAAGCATGAAGGCACGTAGGCGCTAGCACTCAAGCCCTCATAGAACGTCAGCCACCAGCCGCAGAAACTAAACATATGCACACAAAGCACAGAAACAAAGGGATGAACAAACAGGGCAGTGGACAAACCGACCAAGACTGGACAAACAACAACACAAGCAACGCACAATTCAAGTCATCGATTGATTGGCGGTCCAACCAAGCAGGCAACCAAACAAGCACACAACTTCAAAACCAAAACCAAGCGAACACACAAGGCAAAAGAATGATTTATCCATCCTCTTTGAGCACCAAATCCTATACAGCTACTCAGAGGCCAAGACTCCTAGCATAATCATCGTGATCCCTGACGCCCAAGTAGCAACCCCTCAAAGCCCTCTCGAGTCATTTCCAAGGCCCTCTGTGCAGCCAAAGGTCTTTGCAACCCCCGCGAGGCGCCGGACTTCACTGCCTAGCGCGGCTCTCTCCCTTCCTATCGCTGTGGGCAGAAATATGTATGTCGTGTATATCTATGTGCGCGTATGTCTATGTATATATATATAGTATGTGTGTGTATATCTGTAGATAGATAAATATGTGCGTGTGCATATCATGCTTCTTAGTTTAGCAGTATGTACATGCACAACTGTGTACGTCCACATGTGCCTGTATGAATACGTGTAGGTGTATGCGTATTCGACCGTATCTCTACATGCGTATTTAGTAGGTTTGCATGTCTGCATGTACCTACATTCGCACGTCCGGGCGTACTGCGTATGTATACATGCATGTATGCTCCTATACATACTCACACATACGTAGTGAACATGTAACACATATATCTATATATATATATATACAGATATTATGCGTGTGTACGCGTGTGTGCATCCATATACAGAGAGAGAAGCTATGCATGTACTAATATCACCAAGGAAAACATGAGACAGTCGTATATGATACAAGCGTGAAACAAGGATCTGTTGAGCATCACCAAATTAGATATCTCCTCTTAGTTTTGGGTGGGGGGGGGGGGGCGGACGTTGAGAGTTTCAGAAACTGGAGGAACTCAGTGTAGACCTTCAGAAGCCCAACCAGGCCCGAAACCCTGCGCTCTGAAAACCCCTCTATGTCGGTGCCAAAACTCATGTGTCCAGTGGCCGAGGTTTCATTACGCACCGCTACAGCCATGAATGCGAGGTTTCTTAAAGGGCTACTCAAGGGTTCGATAGCAGGGCATGATATGGGGCTTTCCGCAAATAGGGGACCCTAATATAGTACCCTATAAGGACCCCAAAATAAGGTACCCATTATTTCGGAAACTCCCATATGGGACCCTCATACTTTATGCAAGTACTTTGCGGCTTGGGATTCGTTAGCTGCCTGGAAGCCTCGCACTCCGCAGTTGTTCAAGAACTCTATGTAATATAGGGACCTTAATGATTAGAATGGAGTTTTGGGGCCCATTATACTATTTTTTTAATAAGGAACACCCAAAATAGTATAGGTAATCATTATTGAGGCCCCCACATTAGTCAGGGATGCATGGCATGAGTCCGGCAGGGGAGTTCTTCCGGGGCACTGAGATGTGCAAAGCCTCGGATCTGCCCCTGTTGCCGGCTTCGTGGCCTCTTGGTGTTGCGGCTTTTGACTTTGCTGCCTGATTTTGGTCTTGATCTCAACTTTGTTCGAGGCTAAAACATCCGCAGTCTAAGAGGTCTCCGGTACCAGTCTCTTTGCAGCAGAACCATAAAACGACAGATCCTTCGGATCGTGGGGCCTGCGGGTGAGAGTGGTGCCACATGTAGCTCTAGTGTTGACAGGTCCTGTCAAAGATATTGCGAGATCAATCCATGTGAGACGCCAGCCGTGCCAGAATTGCCGAGCGTTTCGTAGCCAGTGGTCTTGCGCTTGATGCAGCGACATGACAGTGGGTTGCTGCCGTTTTGTGTGTCACCAGCAAAAAGCCACAGGTTTTGTGCCACAAGTGCCGCAAGTACAAGCAGGAAAATAATCAGCTGTGTAGTCGAGTAGTTCTGCACTACACCAACAAGTGCGGCACCAGCTAAACCTGCCCAAGTGTAGCTATAGCAGAAGGCCATGGGACAGAGGAGAGCAGCGCAAAAGTGCACTGAACCATGACCATATGACATGGCACATCTGACCAGCCGAAGCAAGACTGGGTATGCCAATGGGAGCGCAAGCAGGATGAGGATTACCCATCCAGTTGCAGAGGATATCATGTACGTAGTCAGGGAGGTGTAGCCAGCTGCTGGACCAGACGTCTCACAGGGCCCATTGTCACAGCCTAACACGTTCACGGAGGAGTAAAAGATCATAGGGAGAAGCGCCATCAAACAGGTCCGCCTCGACACGTAGAGCTCGTCCCCAATCTGTGATAGCACAAAAGAGTGTAAGGTCCCTCTGACGTAGGCATTGAAGCGGCCCAGCGGATCGTCGGCACCAACGAGCGTGGGAAGGAGCACCTTTCGACTTTGAGACACTGAGGTGCAATCAGGACTTTCAATTGCAGGAGAAGGATGATGCATTTAACTGCTTGCAATTGCTGACAAGAAAGCCTCGACCCAAAGACACAGATGACGTGCATCGAATCACACATTTTCTGAATACACCAATCTCATCACGCTCACTTGGGCACCAGTGGGGTAAAAAGGCAGACTCGGGGGCCAGGGTCTGGCTGCAATTTGCCATCTTCCCAGTGGAGAAGATGCTCATGTGTTACCGACATCAATCTTGCATCCCCACATGACGCGCCACGTCTCGCAAGCAAGCTGGCCTCAGTTTTAATCGGGGAAGACATCGACATGCAAAATGCCAGTCTGCAAGGAACGGGATTGGCATCTGAGGCCATTACCTACCTGTACTGGGCGAACCGGCGGTTAAGCACATGAGGTCGCGGGAATACACAGCACGCTGCACGAATGCCCGTGGCATACGTGAAAGGTACATGAAAATTCTCAGTAACTTCACGAGTGTTCATCACGCCATGGCTGGCCGAATGCTTCTGAGTTCCGACTTCCTAGCCTTCATTGTCCAAGCCCAGCTGGCTGATCTTCGCCCAGACCATGCTGACACTCTTTCGCCGGCGCCCAAAGCAAGATGGTCTAAGCTTTTCGAGGGTCCCTTGCATAGGAGGAGTTCTTACTCCCGACTCATGGTTTCTTCCTGGTTTTGAAGCCCCTGGCAAAACCCTGTCACCGTGCAAAAGGCCGAACCCCAAGAGACAACCAGCAATGACAGCAAGCACTCCTACACCCCCTCAAGAGCATTAGCACCCGAACAGCAGTGCAAGATCAATCAAGAGCACGATAATGAGTGGCACGCTGAGAACACCAAGAGACCCTTGAGGTGCAACATGGTGGAGACCCGTCGGGCTGCCAAGACCGGGGCAATGACCCGAAAGTGGACACTAAAGCGACTTGGGCGTCTAGCTTGGGTTCGCGCAAGGTGCTACACCTCCCTTGGGGATTCCCAGCGACGTGCATTTACGCAGTGCGATTCGACTGAACGCCCCTGTGCCTAGCAAGACCGTCCAAAGCGACAAAACCATGCAGAGATCTTGTCAATAAGCCTGCCTCGCCATCGTCAACTTCACCAACCATCTGTGGAGATCCCCGCTGCGCCGCATCGTTCTTGAACAAGTCTTCCACATGCTGCTCGATTGCTTCTACATCGGAAGGCAGAGTACACTTGGCTGCCCTGACATCAAAGTTAGCCATCTGTCGTAGCATTAGCTGGTGGTTTTGCAGCTTCATCCGGAACGAGAAGAAGCTGGGAAGGGCGAGGGGTGCATACACCAGACCTGAGATCATCAACGAGAGAGAGACGGCTGCGAATTTCAGAACTGCAGCATTTCTTCCCAGCACCGGTTCCTCCTCCTCCATCTCTTGATCTATGGTCGTGCGGGGCAATGCACGATCCAGAAGATCAAAAATCGTGAGGCTCACCAGCTCCATGAGGATTGAGTTCAGCAGCCATGGAGCCAACCAAAGCGGCAAGACATCGATCTTCTCTGTACCTACATGTCGTGCGAATGTCGCCAGCTCCAGGGAGCACCATTTTCCTGGGTCCCTGTTAGCAGCAAGGGGGGTCCCTTGTAAAATATTCGGAAACCCACACCGCGAAAAGTAAAACGGCTTGCTAAGCTGGATCTAGCATCTCTCGAAGTAAGTTTCATCCCAGAGAATAAGCATGCGCGAAGAATGCATCACAAAAACAGGAAGAGCTGCTATTTGTTCTGCCTTCCGACCCATGTCTGTTTGATGGATGCAGAGCCTGTCCACCCAGACAGAATAAGATTGACGCCCCTCAAAGAGCTGCTGTCTGAAAAAGAACACAACAAAAAAGATTGCAATGGGAAAGTACACCAGGCAGGGCAGTATGAGGTAGCTGCCTCCCAGGCCCGTGACGCCTCCCCATCCAACCAATGTAGTTGCCAAAACGAACCAGGCACCACAGGCGCATCGGATTGCCGCTTCCAAGTTGAAGAACCTCAGAACATCTAATCCGTAGCTTTAGCATTTAGGGATTTAAGGGTTTATGGGTTTAGGGGTTGGGGTTTACGGTTGCGCAAGTACATGTCAAATCTTTCCGGCTCGCACAAGGGGTGCGGGCTCGTGAAGCTAGAGAGCTGAACAAGTCTCCTCCCCGAGATGTGTTGACTCTATCTGCCTCCTGTCTTTTTCAAAAAACGGACCAATTTGGAGATTGAAACAAAAGGGACCTTTAATTGACCTAAATAGAGCCCTAGTCCCTCAAAACATGATCAAACGGTCGGACTGATCTCAAGGACGCTGGAAGCGAAAAAGATCAAGCACTCCCGTCAAGACAAAAGTGGAGTGTCGCGGCGGTGGCGCGAGAATCTTTGCTGGACGTGAAACGCGAGCTGAGCAACCGTAAACTGGCCCCCATGTCTAGGAGCAGAAACACTTGTGCGTTTCCTAGAACATGGGGCCTTCATATAGAGACGCCAAGTAATAACTTGGTACGAGCATGTCCACAAAGACCCTACAATTCAAAACGGAAGCCTAAACCCCACAACCCGGAATCCTAAACTTTTTAAAAGGGAGCTTCTGACTTCCGAGGCCGAGTCGCAAGCAGAGGGCCAGAAACTTTGACCAACGAGAGGCGCTCCAGGAGTGGCCTATAAAGATGTCCTGGGCTCTTTGCAAGCTTTGCAAGGGATTCTGCAGAGGTTTTGTTGACCTTCATGGGGGCTCCTGGAGGTGTTTTTTCCCCACCTGCTTGGAGGTGTTGGTTTGGAAGGGTTCTGTACAGGTATTTTCTAGGGCCTGTAGGGTTTTCCAGGCGTTTAAGGGTAATAAGATTCGAGAATGCCAGAGTAAGGAATACTTTCAAGGCGGCCTGGCGTCGACATGATCTGTTTCTGAAGAAGTTTCGAAGAGGGCTTCCCCTGCATGCAGAACCTGGTCCATCGTTGGGAACCGCGTGTTGCTGCTGCCGCCCGCTGTGAGAAGCGCATCGAGTGCATCTCGGAAGATAATGCCGAATCCTGCATGGGGTGCGGATCGTGCTTGTCATCGTGTGTTTGAAAGCATTCCCGGGAACAACGCAGGGAACGCAAACAAGGCCAAGACACCAGCCAAGACCTGTCGAGGTGAAGCTTTGCGAAAGTGCCCCGACTTGCAAATCTGCTCGTAGCTGCTGGCTCTCCGAAGTCGGGAACCCGAGGCCGACGGCGATTCCGGCATGAAACGAATGCCGCATACAAGGGGTGACCTTATAGGTCACGCGTTTGGGACTGAACTGAGCTTGAGGTTGTACATTTTATGAATCCGTGCTCTTGAGCAAACTTCTGTACTTTGCTGGCGCGCCGAGGACATCTGCCTAAACGGCTCAGCCTGCGTGCATGCTTTGGAATCTCGATATTTGGAAAAACCAAAGAACCGACTAAGCGATATTTGGGGTCATTAAATCCAAGAGGGCTGAGGGCTCATCAGGTTTAGCTTTGCGGTCTAAGCGCATTTTAGGTTCATATGCTTCGACTCTCAGCTTACCGATGTGTTTAGGGTGCAGAGTTCAGAACTTGGGCAAGCCGTGGTCGACATCGAGAAGCTTCAACGGCACTCATTCAGGCAGCTGAAACCCTGGACCCTACAACTAGAATCACCTACCTTCAAGCGCAAACTCCAACACCCGTTGAAGCATAATGTAGGGGCCTTAATAATTAGAATAGGGTTTCGGGTAGATTATACTATAATGATAATAAGGAGCCCCCACAAGAGTAGAGGCAATTATTCAGGCCCCTATATGACACTGTTACGCCTCCCGAAACCATGCACAGACTCGAGAGCCTCCGCCCCGGCTGACCAATCCACTGACTTCGCGCGCTCCACGCCCTCCGGACTGTGCTTGCAGGCTCTCCAGGGCTTGCTTCGTGCAAGCTCAAAGCTGAGGGCACTGAGGGCGTGAAAGGATCCGTTCTCTGATGTTGCACTGAGAAATGTCCGCATTATCTAGGGGGGGTATCCTCATACTGCCGGGGCTTTGAAGGCCTTTGAGGCGGACAACTCCGGCATGGGAGCACACCGGCTTGTTTTGGTTTGTACCGCAAAAACAACCCAACAACAATTTACTGCAGCAGTATAAAATCCGTGCAAAACGAAGAGTTTGGGTTCCATGAGTTCGGCCTGACATTTCGGGCTTCCAGGGGTGCGGAAGGGTCTGCAGACCCGGGGTTTGATAGAGTAAGCTGCAAAAACACACACCGGAACCCAACCATCTTGTAATGAGGGCTATGTGGGAACCCCACACCCTCTTGCTCCATGTGTAGAAGCAGCCTACAGTACATAGATGTTGGAAGACAGAACCTGTAAACAAGGATTTGAGCCGATATTATGTGATCCCCCTGCGCGCCTCATACTAGTAGCCAAAGCCTAAGTAGCGAGTCAGTAAGGTGGGAGCACAGATGAATACAAGGTGACAACGCGGGGGCCTTCATGATTGTAACAGGGTTTGTGGCATTGTGTGGTATAGCTACATAGAGATTAAGCGTGGGATGCTAGTCTCAATTATTTACACCCCCATAGTGTGCTGACAGGCCCCGGCACACGTGAGAAGAGTGCAGTCAAAGCATAACTTGATGAAGTCACCAGTTATCGTCATCTACACCACACCGTCAACATACAGTATGTCAGTATGTGTCGTCTTCCCCGTTCTGATTGAAAAATGTCACTCGCAAAGTCCTCGCCCAACCCTGAACCCTTCTTAACCCAAAATCCATTATGCCTGTGACATGCGCTCTTGCAGCGTCGCGCCCGCTGCGCTTGCACTGGAGCTCACCTGCCGGGTGCTTTACAAACCGAGCGCCACAAGAAAAGCTGGGGCTTTGGATGTTATGCGATTTATAGGATTCACGAGCAGGGATAAATTAACTAAACCCGTCTCTACCAACAGAGTCGCAGGCTCTCCAAATCCAACACCTTCCGAGCCTTCCCGTTCCCGTTCAGTCTTGCTGTCATGGTCTTCGGGTTTGGGGGTGATCTGATGATCGCTATACAAGGGTGTCAAGTGTTTTCAACAGCTTTTGGGCTCGCACTCTCAGACCGATCCAGGGGAGGCTGCTCAGATCGGAAGACTCGGACAAGATGAGACTGGGCGGCGACATAAGAGACCTGCTGCAAAGCTCGCACTGCCACTAGCAGCCGCTAGCAGCCACTATAATCAATCGCTGACAGAACACGAAAAGCGGATGTACTCTCTAAGCTAGCTCGAACCACTGGCTGCATCAGACTCACTCTCGTCATCTGTCATCGGAGGCCCGATGTCACCGGCACACTCCTCCAGGGAATGGCCCCCGGTCTCAGGGAGGATGCAAAATCCATATATGCCCATGAGAACTGCAACCGCGACGTAAATCAGAAGGCCTTTTGGCCCTAGAGAAATCACATCTATGAAGGTCAGAGAAGTCAACCAGCCAGCTGCAAAGAGAGTGGCTGTGGACACGGACTGGGCTGCCGAGGCATAACGCGGCCCACCCACAGCAGTGACCTCCACGACCACTATCCAGTAGCCGATGCCCCAAGTGCTGTAGAAGATGGCAATGAAAGAGCTCATGCCGCTCAACAGCAGCACGGGACTGCTCCAGGCAGCGCCCAGCACGAGGACCAGCAGGGCCACAGCAGAGAGGCCACCGCCTGCCCCGAGCAGTGTCCGCCGGGACATGCGTTCAACGATCACAAGGCCCAGAATCACACCCAACATCTTGGCGCCCACCACCAGCAGTGTAAGCATGTCTTGGGACTCTTGGCCGATGCCCACGCGAGCGAGCATCTTCTGCGCGTAGATTAGGATGGACGTTGAGGCACATGCCTGGTCGAGGACTGCAGCTACAAGCGCCAACCCTAGGCCACGGCGGGCTCCAGCAGGCACCTGCTTCGAGCCGATGATGATGGCACAAGCATCTTTCAGCGTACGCCGCAGGATCGACAGCGTGCGGAGGCGAACGGTCTCATCCTTCTCCTCCAGCTGGCTTTGTGACCTGTAGAGAGGATTACCAGCTGCAAGATGCTTGTCATCCCAGAGACGGATCAAATCATCCTGGCCTTCAGCCGTGTCCGTGTCACTCGAAAGCTCTTCTTCGAGACTGCCCCTTCCAGATCGCCATGTCTCGAGACGCTTGTCTGCACCCGGTCGCCGAAGGCTGGAGATCTCCTGCAGCGCAGCCAGCAAAGACGAAGGGCTGGATCCCTTTGTCTGCAACATCCACCTTGGCGACTCCGGCACAGTGCAAGCGACGATCAGCACGGGGAAGGCAAAAACAAAAGGCACGCACCCAGCCTGGTAACGCCAGACTGCCTCGGAACTGAGCATCTGTAGAAGCGCATTGACCAATGCAGCCAGCAGCATCCCAGAGGCAATTCCCAATTCGTACATTGCCTCGAAGAGCCCTCGCTGCTCAGGCCTGACCACCTCACTCAGGTAGTTGGGCGTGGCCACCGAGGCAAGGCCGATGCCGATCCCCATCAAAAACCTTCCCACGATCAGCTGTGGTAGGCTCTGGGCGGTAAAGACGAGTAGCGGTCCGATCATGCTCGGAATCGCCGAGCAGCCGATAATCGTTCGCCTGCCTCGGGACATGATCATCGCTCCGCCGAAAAGGCTGCCGAAAATGGCGCCACCTTTCGCGCAAGAGACGACCCACTCGGTCTGTTTCTTGTCCAGCTCAAGCTCCTTGGACATGGACTCAACTGCTGCCCCAATAGATGCCAAGTCCACCCCAAAGAGGAGGCCGGCACCAACTGCCAAGATGGCAAGGCGCCAAAACATGGCTCCTACGCTGAGAAGATGAGAACTTTCGTTTAGCCGCTAAGGCGAAGGTGTGCTCGTTGCCAAGCAGAACGCATGCATCTCCTGCAGCACTGTTTGCAGATTTGCAATCGTTCAGTGCAGCGTAGCAAAAGATCATAACAAATTGACAGTGTCATCTTCAACTGATGTTCGGTTGATTGTTCGGTTGACCCGATGGCTCCGGCTGCTGCGCGGCAATGCTTGAGCTGTAGCCACTGTGTCAGAATTCTACCACATTCCTTGAATGCCACATGACCAAACAAATCATCATGTTCGCCTATCGAACCCTGACGGAATCTCGGCCGAAAAGCCCGAAACCACAACACACGCAGCCTCAACCCAAGTCATGTCTTTGAGGCGTGGGTTCACGGCTTTCGCCTCAGGTCTCTGAGACAATACGGAGACTACTTCTCTCAATCCTGAGCTCCAGAAACAGAACCGACCGATAAAGAATTTTTGCTGAGAGGAATGATAGAGAGGGTTGGGGCGTCTTGGAAGATCCAGAAACTCGAAAGCTCCAGCAAAGCTCTGGCGCCTTCTCGAAGGACGAAGAGACCGAGGACCTTGCTGCGTGGACCTTGCTGTGCTTCTATTTTGATTGCTACTACCACTAGCACTAGCACTACC